CAAGGTGGAGATTTGTTGAAGTTGTCAAACTCCCACATCGGTTGGGGAGAAAAATTGTTGGGATTTTTCCCTTATAAAAGGAGACCTAATGTTTAGGATTTAAATACACCTCTCATTTGTCTTCTTATCTTCTTAAGGCATTTGTATCTTCTCTCTTTAGTATTATTTCACTTGTATTTTTGGAGTGAAATAAAATATTGGTTGTGTCCGAGGAAGTAGGCAATATTGGCCGAACCTCGTAAATTCTGGTGTTCTTTTATTGTTTTCTTATTTATTATTTATTATTTGGTGGCTGTCATAATTTTTGGTATAGTAGTTGTGACACATTCACACTATATACATTTGGATTCCGCAACAATTGGGAGGCGCAACTATGTTTACCAAGATTGATCTGAAGATAGAATATTGGCAAGTGATTTTCGAGGCTGATGAACACAAATAATTTATGTGATACAGTATGTGTAATTTGACTTCTTGATCATGCCGTTTGGCTTGATGAATGTTCTCGCAATGTTTTGCATCTTGATGAACCAAGTCTTCCGGGAATATATAGACGAGTTTGTAGTAGTCTACCTGGATGATATTGTGGTATATATCAAGGCATTGTTGGAGCACCTTGATTATTTGATGATGGTCCTAGCTCGGCTAAGGGAGAATAAGTTATATGTGAAGCTTTCTAAATTCACCTTTGTCCAAAAGTAGATTGATTTTCTTCGTCATGTCATTGAGGAGGGGCAGATCAATAAGATGGACCAGTAGAAGGTATAGGCTATGATGGACTAGCTGCCACCCAAGGATATCCATGCCTTAAAGGTGTTCCTTGGCCTATGCAACTTCTATCACCGGTTCGTGAGGAACTACTCCCTCATATATTGATGTGTCGTTCACAGAGCTCTTAAAGAAGGCCACGTCTTGGAATTGGTCTCTCAAGCAGCTGCAGGCCTAGGATGCTTTGAAAATGGCTACGTCCAGCAATCTGGTATTGCCCCTTCTTGATTTAATCAGTCTTTTTGAAGTACAGACTAATGCTTCATATTTACGCCCTAGGCGGAGTTCTGCTGCACAATGGCTATCTCGTTGCTTACGAAAGTTGAAATCTGAAGGATGTTGAGCGATGCTATAACGCACACGAGAAAGAGTTAATGGTTGCCATCGATTATCTCTGCCTTTAGAGGCAATACTTGTTGGGGACCTTGTTCATTGTGAAGATGGACAACATGGCTATCAGTTAGTTTAGGACCTAGCCAAAGCTGAACAACGACATACTAGATGGCAGGAACTTCTCATCGAGTTTAACTTTAATTTGGAGTACAAAGTGGGAAGACCAACCAAGTTGCTGATGCACTAAGTTGGAGAGCAAACTTAGCATCGGTGTGCCTACTCGCCATTCTCAAGGAAGCGAACTGTCTACCATTATAAAGGATCAGATACGTGAACTGCTTAGCAAAGACCTTACTACCTAGTATTTGATCAGCTTTGCGAATCATGGCAAGACTCGATAGTTCTACATGGAGGATGGGTTTCTTAGAGCAAAAGGGAACCGCCTATATGTTCCTAAGGGAGGTGATCTGCGGAAAACCCTCCTGAAAGAGTGTCACGATACTCTTTTGGGGAGGGGGGATCTTAGAGAAGAATGGACCATGGCGCTGCTGTGTCGTGCTTATTATTGGCCCCATATGGAAAATGATGTTGCTCAATATGTGAGGACTTGCTTGGTGTGTCATTAAGACAAGATTGACCGCCTGACCAAAGCGAGCTTCTGGAGCCCTTGCCTATCCCGAAGAGGCCTTAGGAAGAGTGTCTCGTAAGATTTCAATACCGACTTGCCCAAGGTCAGAGATTTCACCACTATTCTTGTCATGGTCAATCGATTTTCTAAATATGCTACTTTTATTGTGGCCCCAAAGTATGTATCTTCTGAAGAGACATCTCGACTCTTCTTTACTCATATTGTCAAATATTAGCGGCTGCCTAGAGATATTGTTAGTGATCACGATTCTCGCTTTAGTAGCAACTTTTGGACCAAGCTCTTCAACTGTCTCGGGTCCAAGTTGAGCCACAATTTGAGTTTTCATCCCCAATTTGATGGCCAGACAGAACGGTTCAATGGCATGCTGGAGGAGTACCATCGACACTTTGTTACTAGCTCGCAGAAGAATTGGGTGAACCTGTTGGATGTTTCTCAATTGTGTTTCAATTACCAAAAGAGCTTGAGTAACAACAAGAGAGCATTTGAAATTGTTACCAGTCAACAACCACTCCTCCCGTAGCAGATGCCCCAAATATGTCAAAATCTCCTAGAGCTGTCAGGTTCTAGAAGGATTGGAAGTAGAACCTAGAGATAGAGTGGAGCTATCTTGAGAAGGCCCAGAAGCGGATAAAAAAGCATGTTAATCAGAACTGCCGCTTCGTGGAATATCAAGTTGGGACAAAGTAATAGTGAAAATGCCAAAGCGATACCTATTTGTGGGGATCTCGCCTATTGCAAAAATCCATTGGACATCTCTTCATTGTGAAGCGCAATGAGAAGGTGGAATACCATATTGATATCCCAACTTGGTGGAAGATCCATCATGTTTTCCATGTTAGTTTGCTAAAACCTTATCAGGAAGACAAGGATGCTCTCTCAAGAAACCAGCTCACTATACCTGGTATCCGAGAAAACAAATCAACTGAGAAGAAATTGTCGAAGCTATACTTGATGACCAGATGATTCATGCCTCACGGAAAAATCATCAGGAGTTCCTCGTGAATGGAGAGGATGTGATGCCAAGGAGAACACATGCGAGAGGTTGAAAAACCTCAAAGACTTCAAGGACTTTATCGATGACTATCTTGCGAGGAAGGCGTCGAGGATGTCGCTAAATAAGATGGGGGAGAATGTCATAGGCTGCTTTCCATCCTTGCCCCATGACCCCTTGGCTCTGGTAAACCTCCTAGCATCGAGTGTCATGGACGACCCCATGGTCTTGGCTGCGGCAAATCAGAAGTATGTTTGTGCCTATGTTGCCCACATGTAGCCCGCGCTCGCGCCCGTGCCCGCCCCCGCGCACGTGCCCAGCGGCATGCAATGCCCACAAGTGCCTGTGAGTAGAGAACACCCTCAATGTCTGCCCGCAGCTAGCGCCTACAAGTATATGCCCCGCTACCAATGCCCATACGCCCATGCCCCTCGCGCAACACACAAGGCCACCACCCCTACAAGTGTCGCATATTGGACCAGTTTTCCCTTTGTATAAGGTTAGGTTCCTTTTCATGTAAATATAGACTAGTTTTACTTGTGTTTTTATTTTAATTTTCTAGCTTTTTTATGTCTACTCCCGTAAATTAGGTTTTTATTTTTAAGACATATATAAGGGAGGTATAGTCGTTTACAAGAAATCAAGTCTCTTTACTGATGTTTCCTCCTCCCTGCACCACATTGGCTTTCTTGTAATCATTGTTCTCTATAAATACAAGCAAGCTTTCATTCAATTCTCTCGTTACAAATTATGATCTTGACATTGGCTTTTTCGCACCGCACTGACAATCTAGTCTAGCGCATAAAGGGGGCCTTCGGTTGGCGCAAAGTAATGACACAGAAGTAGGTTGCTTTGCCTTATGTTACCCTTCCGAGACATTTCAGAAAGGCGCACATAACAGTATGTATGTATGTATGCAAGTAGTATAAAGTTGAGTAAGTACGGACATGTACATCCGCTTTCGTAATACTACACCACCCTAGCTATACTGTTAATCCACAAATAAATGTAAACATTCAAAGTGAAGCAACAAAGCACCTGCCAAGTTGTATCCATGGAGAAATTGCAATCAATATAAATGGCACCAATGAGGGATTCAACTATATCAGCCAGCACCTTTGGGGGATCAATAAGGCCTGTTGAATGCAAAGGATACTCTAAAGTTGCATCTCTGAATTCTTCCACCTATGGAAATAGTAAACTTGTAAGCAAACTTATATCAACCAGTGGTGGATGTACGGGTTCAGCAGCAATATGTTTACTACTTTTTCAGCTATATAGAGAGAGAGAAAAAGCGTAAAACAGTAGGTAGTGTAATGGTACAAATGATAGAGACAGAGCAAGTATTTCAGTCATCAAGACATTACTACAGATGGCAGAAGTATTATTATGTTTCTCACCAGTCATAAAGTCATCCAGAAAGTTTTTCGCTCTATAGCAGTTCAAGATTAAAAGCACGTACTTAGTTTACTAAAAATGGATGGGGAAAATGCATGCGCCATTGGAATTAAACACGCTTGAGGTCATTAAAATTTAATCCAACCAGCTTCTGAATAGGGGTTTACATATGTTAGGTTGGTTCGGATTTTATAATTATGAAACCAAACCAATTGTGTCGGATTATTAAATTTAAAGACCAAACCAAACCAATAAAACTCGGGTTTTTCACTCTCAGTTTTTCTCGGGTTTTCGGGTTATTCGGATTTTTTTCGAATTTTTTTCCGGTAAAATCTTCGTAAAACAAAACATATCAATTATGCTCTAAATATTTCTTTAGTCCTAGTAAGATACAACTATATAAAGTATTTTCCAAGAAAATAATACAAAATATGAGATATGTCATGGCATTATCCTAAATATTCAACAATAAAATTATGTAATATAAATATTGCTAATTAAAAAGTCATAATAAAAATAAACATAATCTAAGAGTACTAAGACATGCTAAATAAGTAGACTAATAAGGGAGTATTAAATACATGACTACACGCAAAAGAAAAAAGAAAAATAGGTTATGCATTTTATCTAAATTATTGCAAAACAAAAAATAGATATTCAATACATTCCGGTTCGTAGTATTGAATTAAATGTCTTTTGTTAACATTAGTATTGATTTGATTTTGGTTTGGGCTTTTGTTAGCACTATTTAATTTACTAATGTTAATGGCTATAAAATTTATTGGAACATTCAAAAGTTCTAAGTCCAACATTGAAATAATACCTCAAAAAAACAAAATTATGAGATCTTTTAAAAAAATTTATGAATTACATCACAATAAGTATAATTATATATTAAATATACCTAAAATTTCTATATATGTAATGTCGGGTTGGTTTGGTTTCGGTTTGACTTTCTTTAGTTAAAACCAAACCAAACCAATAATGGTCAGTTTTTTTTTTCAACACCAAACCAAATCAAACCAACCCATAATCGAATTTTTTTCTCGGTTTAACTCGAATTATTGGGTTGGTGTGGTTTGTCGGTTTCATTTGTACACCACTACTGCTGAAAGTGAAACAATGGATTCATTCGTAGCTACCTAGTTTTTTCTATTAGATCTGACAAATACTTTGTCTTTATGATTCTTGAGACTTTGAGATAATACATATTTTCCTCATGGACTTTTGTCCGGTTTCTCTAGAAGGTCATTAAAGTTTAGACCGCATCAAGAATTAGAATATAAAAGATTTCCACCATTTTCGGCCTATGGACCAAATAAACCAAGTTTTTTTGTTACTTATGGCATTTAGTATTAAAGACTTTATGGAAACTAATACCAAAAAGAAACCCTTGGAATCGAAACGTCTATAGCAAAGTTTATTCACAACCTAAAATCAATTTATAAGATTAACACCAAATATCACGTTGAATAGGTAACACGTTAAAAATGATACTACTGAACAATGTGCAGCTATACTTTACTTCCTTACCCAATCTTCTCTTCTCTCCACCATGAAAAAGAGTTACCTTTTGATCAGTCACAAATAATAAATGCAATTCAAAACATTTTTTTTTTAAATAACAAATATTGGAGAGGCAATTTCTTAAAGATTTATCACTAAGTAATATGTTTACTACTCACATACACAACCTTAGTTTTCAATATCTCTCTCTTTTTTATTTCAAAATTTTGAAACAACAAATAAAAAAAAAAACAAAGCAGATCAAATATTTTCATCACTAAGTAATAAATTGAGACTCCAAGTCACACCGAAGAGTAAGTGAAAACTCTATGATCCTTGATGGGATGGGGTGTGATGAATAGAAAATGTTATTTCCATGTCCCAATTTAATTATCTGGAGGTGTTAGGATTTAGAGAATCAAATAAGTTGTTCATTGACCGTAATTTATTTATATACCTTTAAAATATTTTGAATATTGTGATTTATAGTATTTTTTATGTAATTTTTAAATATATAAGTTTTATTTCTAAAAACTTAAATTTTGAATATTTAAATACAATTCGAAAAACGAAATGTATCACTAAATTAGGACAGAGGGAATACTTTTTTCTTCTTATTTTTCAAAATTTTGAAACAACAACAAAAAAAGAAGAAGAATAAAGCATGGACTCACACAGAGATAAAACATTGTCATATACTATATTATAAGTATGAAGCCCAAAGATTAAGGTTAGATTACCAAAATGCCTAATAATAGCTAGATGACCATTTTGTCCTTTAAACACCACATCTATAATATATAATTTGTACCAAAAAGTAAAATTACTTTTCAATAAATAATAAGGTTGTACTACAATAAATCAGGTGAATGGGAAGAGACTTGGCGTGGAGTTTCGTGTATTACCCAAGAACTTAATGCAGTATATTCAATATCTGTTGCTTTCATCTTCCAATACTTATTACAAACAACGGTTCAAATTCTTCAGAATATTATATATCATATTCCACTAATTTGAGCTTTCCCTATTTTGTGGTCCGATGATGTTTTCCTTTTGTTTATTCAGCATGCTTTAGGTGCTCTTTGCCCTTCCTCTCTAGCTCTTTATATGTGTGTGTGAATTCCTAGTGGGTCTTTTGTGGTTGGTAATAATAGAATTTTACGAATGGGAGGTTGTCATGGTTAATATAAATTGAGTATTTTGTTAATTGGTTTATGCAGTTAATTTTAATTTGTTACTTGGGATTCTAACAATTTCTTGAATTTTTTTTATTTTTTTTTTGCTTATTACATCAAAATAGCTGCAATTTTGTTTAACTTACACTTAATTTATTATTTCTTTCCAGTGAGTTGGAAACTCATTTCATTGACTGCCGTGTTGTTGCTAATTTAGCAATCATTCATTTGGTGATATTCATGACCATGATAGGCTATGCAAATTATGTACTTATATTATACAAAGAAAAGAAATATTTTAATTAACACATCAAAATTAATATGATCTTTGTAACCTTTAGAATTGCATATGATATATGTGTACTATTTTAGTACGGTCAAATTTTTGTCCTACTCCAAAAATAAAATATAGGTAGATAAACTTTCCTCCTTCATTGGCTATTTAAAATAGCCAATTACATTGAATTTTCTTTTTCAATACGGTCAGCCCAATATTTTCAAGGACTTAATAGTTCTTACTTCTAATTTATTCTAACCATGCAATCAGAAACTTTGAGAGATTCTTTTGAGAAAATTTACAAATAAAAATATTAATAGTTGTAGAACGTAGTTAGATTTGTGAGTACGATAAAAATTAGTCCCCCCCCCCNAAAGCTGTTGGTAAAAATACTTTCTGCAAACAAATTTTTGGACAGAAAAAATAAAAACTCATTATAATAAATACTATATTAGATAAACAAAAAAAACAATATAGTGAATGTTACGAAATTAGCAGCCACGGTAATAAATATTACTAATAAATTTAATTTGTTAAATGTCTCATGCATGTATAATAATTTTTTAAAGTTAGCATTTACATATGATAATTTATCTTCTCTTTCTATTTCTCTTAGCTTGAATTTTAGATTTTTTATGATTTATTAATACAATTATTTTCTTATAAATGCAATCCTTCACTTATAAATGCAATCATAATTCAAAATATTTTTACTATCCATGTACAAAATAAAAAAATATCATATACTAATAAATAATAATCACGAATACTAATTTTTTCCCGTCTCCTAATTAATGTCAACAAAATTTATTTTATATGTGCTTATTTATAGAATAATATTATTCTCATCAATAGTATTCTCTTCTCCGAACTTTTTATCTTCTTTGTTTTTTAGGTCTTGAATATTTTGAATAAGAATGAGACTTCCATGCGGGACTTGTGGAGATGCATTCAGTCACCGAAAGTGACATAACAAATATAAGACTCACAAGTTTTATTTTTTTATCTTTTTTGGAGAACGCCCAAGCATTAACTTATTACATATATGTCACTTTTATAATTTTAAAAGCTTGACTTAATTCTATCAGAGTAACTTCAATTTCTTTGCGTTTTTTCTTTTCTTTAGAGCACTTTCATATGGAGAGAGTAATATACTTTTTGATCGTCATTCATGTTAGGAAACACTAATTACTTGATTTTATTTACTTTCACGTACTAGATTAATGAATGATTGGTCTTTATTATCTTTTCATGATTTGAGATTATTTTAAACATAAAATAAGAGGAAAAATTATGACTATATTATAGTGAAAATTAAGTTAACATATGATTGACATTTTAGACCATTTAATTGAGATTTGTTTTTGTATTCACTGTTTTTGCTACCTTTCATAGCAATCTTAAAATTTATTCAGATTATGATTTAAATTATTAATTATTTTCTTTTAATGCTTTATTTTATAACTTGAAACACGTTTTTAAACATGTAGTTCTTTTTAGATTTTTTTTTTAGGAATTAATATGGGATTCCTGTTCAGAAACTAGTAATAATAAAAAACAGCACTTACTTGTCCCTTAAGTAGAGGTTTCTTGTGGCGTAAATACTTATGAAAGTCGTATTTGACGGCTACCCTTGCGAGTTTTTCTGTATCTACGTTGGCGGCTCGCAGCCGCGTCAACTTTCCCGGAGGCAAATCAGGGTGAAGAAAGTAATGCTCTTTTGCTATTAGCAAATTTAGCACAGAGTCACCCACGTATTCAAGCCTTTCGTATGACTCACAGCAGTTTTCTTGGATAGAAGAATGAGTAAAAGCTTGATATAGCAAATTAGGATTCTTGAATTTGTATCCTATGATCTCTTCTACTTCTTCCACATATCTCTCCCATGACTGAAGGAGATGGGCAGTTTCGTCGTTCTCCGATATATGAAACTCTTGGAATAATGAACTTAGAGAGACTTGTTCTAATTTCTCTTCCATGGCTTTTTTCACAAAGAGGGAAGGTTTTCAGGAGATGGTTTGTATACAATGTTTTATTTGAGAATGGCCTAGAAGTCGGCACGATGAAATAGATATTAACTATTGTTCAGAACAAGGAATTTTCTCTTTAAATAAACGACGTTGACAAAATAGCTAATACAGCTAGCAAGAAGATGTTGATAGCGTGTAGCATGACGCCCTAGGTTTTGTATTTTAGGAAAATACAATGTGATTCCAACTAGTAGCGAAATTTGGAATTTCTCAAGGATGTTCAAATTTGAAATACATTAAAAAATATTCCGGCAAAAGGTGTTCAATATATATTATATACCTATAAAATCTAAAATTTTATCGATATACGCAATATAATTTTTCCGATAAAGGATGGTCAATTGACCATGCCCTAAGCAAAGTGGGGCTTCGCTCATGATTCCAACGATGGTGTGGCTAGAGGGTAACAAACTTGAGCCTGTTTGAATTTGCTTATTTTAAGTGCTTTTAAGTCAAAACAAGTCAAAGTAAAAAAATACTTTTAAACACTTGTTTTTAAGCTAAAATGACAAAAATAAGTCAAAAACCAAAAGGTAGAATTCCTAACTTATATCTTTGGGCTTAAAAGTCACTTACAATAAGCTCATCCAAACGAGCTCTTTATGAGCACCCGATATTTATATTAAACTATATTATTTTACTATGATCAAGTGACCAAGTCAAACAAGTTAGTATATATGTTAATTAATTATTACAATTTAGAGAGGGGCCTATTACATAGTTAAAGACATACAGTATTTCCTTGTTATACAAATAGCCATCCAGATTCAATGTTTACCTTTTGCTAGACGGTATATATAAATTATACAATAATTATACATAGTTATATACATATTATGCATAAATTTTACATATATTATATATACACCGACAGTTTATTATTTAAAAAATTAGGTAAACGTTTATTTGGGTTAATTTTTCTATTTCGTTTATTGAGTTGCTAAAGTATACTGCTTAGTTTCTACTTTTCTACGGATATACATGCATATGTAGATAATTACGCATTTATTAATATATTGTTATTGACAAAGCAATAAATGGTCTCAATTTGTAGCTTGACCATATATGAAGTTTGGTTAAAAATTAAAATAAAAGCTGGCTAGAATTCTTTGCTTCGAGGAAGAAGATCTTCAATAATTTAATTGTGGATTCAAAAATTCATGCTGTTAGTCATTCTAGTGCAAAAGAATACTCATTTCGTTGTCATTTAATTATAGGATATCTTTACAATAAATAACATATTGAACATGTCAGATGAGAAAAAATAGAAGTGAAAATCATTTTCATCTTTCTATTATGCTTTAAAAAATTAAGCATCTTCTCCAATAATAATTTATATTTTATCCTCTTATCTCATGATTTGGACATGGAAAAGATATAGATAGACGTCTCTCGTTAGAAGAAGTTGCATCTTTTTTCAACCTATCCTATATTACATTGAGTTAATTAATTCAATCTTACCAGAGGTCTATCCTTATTCTATTTCCTCTTTCTCCACCACTATTCATAGAATACTTCCAGCCCAAAAAATAAAATGAAAAAGAAACAAACATAAACATAATATTATATATAGTTTAGATTCAGAGTATTTGACGTTTTAAAATGGAAAAGTTGCATTATCTTTGAATCCGTCCTGAAACCGAGGAGACAAGCAAAGATGATTAATTTTATTACACTTGTTCTTTTTCCCTTCTTTAGGTGGCCTAGAAAAGGAAAAAATAACTAGAAGAGAAGTGCAGAAGGAAAATGTATGTAACTTGGCTATCAAGTTTAACCCACGAACACATAACTTGTTCAGATTTAGATGGGGTAGAGTAGTTTGTTTGCCCAAGTTTCTCGAAAGTTAAAAGTGTTTATTTTAGATTTTAAAAATGCTTATTATAGAGAGTTCGGCCAAATTTTTGGAAAAAATAAGTGATTTTGAGTAGTAACTAAAGCTCTCTTTTAGACGCTAAAAAAATAGTTTTTCTCAAAATATTTTTAGAACCTTAGCAAAACACAAATTGTTGCTCTGATATTGACAAAAGTACTTTTCAAATTAGCCAAACACAAATTTATTAGTATTCAAAGGAACTCTTTTGGATAGCACTCTTATTTAAAAAATACTTTTTAAAATAAATAGATTTTAAGAGTTTGACGAAACAAGCTATAAGTATATATATTCATTTGGCAGATCAATTTGGCATAGATTAAAGCCTCATTTGTTTGCATTTAATGGAGATCGGAATCTTAATTATTCAGATCTCAGACATTAAGTCCATTTATTTTTAAGTCTGAATCTTAATCATTAAGTGTATTTTATTTTTTTATTTTACCACTTAATGGGTCTGAATATGTCACTGCCGCCACCGTCCACTATTATCAATTACCACCATGCACCACTCGCCACCATCATATTTAACCATAAACACCACTACCCACCGCACCATCTGCAACCATTGCCGCCACCAACCACTATTATTAACTACCACCATCCCCACCATTATCGACTACCACCACCAACCACCCCCACCATTATGAACTACCAACAACTCCACTACTATCATCCTCAACACCCGCCAATATACCTCAATTACCACCATCAACCACCACCACCTCGATCATCAATCATAGCCCATTATCCGCCATTATAAACTATCACCATCCACTACCAAATTTCTCAATCACAACCATCACCATCACTCCACCATTATCACCGCTTACTATCCACTATCCTCAATCATAAATAGCCACCGCTACCTGTAACGACCCGACCAGTCGTTTCGAGCTCTACTGCATCATTTGGCAGTTTGAGACCATGAGTAGCTTCACTTCAGGTATTATGACTTGCACGCGTGGTCGAAATTAAAATTTCGGAAGTTCGGAGTTTATTGGGAAAGAGAATTCTTATTTCGGAAGCTTTAAGTTGGAAGATTCTGACTAAGGTTGGACTTTGAGTAAACGATCAAATTCGGGATTTGAAGGTTCCAACAGGTTCTTATGATGATTTTGGATTTTGGCGTATGTACGGATCAGGTTTTGGATGACCCGGGAGCGTTTCAGCACCTATTGTGGAAGTTGGCATTTTGGAAGAATTTCATATATTTGGGTTGAGGTGTATTTCAATGTTATCGATGTCCATTTCGGATTCTAAATCCGGGAATAGCTCTGTACGGTCATTCTGGTATTGGGAGCGCATCCAAAAGTGGATTTGAAGATCTGTAGGTCATTTTGGAATCGTTTGGCGAAAGTTAGAAATTTGAAGGTTTTTAAGAAATTTGACCGGAAGTGGACTTTTTGATATCGGGATCGGATTTTGTTTTCGAAAGTTCGAGTAGGTCCGTAATGTTGAATGTGACTTGTGTGCAAAATTTGAGGTCGATCGAACGTGATTTGATAGGTTTCTTTGAAGTTCTAAAGTTCATTAAGCTTGAATTGGAGTGCAATTCATGATTTTTGTGTTGTTTGATATGATTTGAGGCCTCGAGCAGGTTCGCATTATATTTTGGAACTGGTTGGTATGATTCCACGGGTCCCGGGGGGCCTCGGGTGGATTTGGGATGGTCAATAGATTGAGTTTGGCCTTGTGGAGGTGTTGAGGCTGCTGTCTTCTCATGTAACCGCACCTGCGAGGATAGGGCCGCAAGTGCAGAGCCACAGAAGCGGTCATGAGGGTCGCAGAAGAGGTCATGAGGGCCACAGAAGCGGCTTAGGCTGGAGAAGACTGGGGCCGCAGATGCGGCCGAGTTGCGCAGAAGCGGGACCGCACCTATACGCGGGGAGCCGCAAAAGCGAAGGCGCAGAAACGGATGGCGATTGCAGATGCGCAATCAAGAGGTCTGATGGAGGAACACAAAAATGGTATTTGGTCCGCACCTATGGAACCGCAGAAGCGGTCAAGTGACCGCAGTGCGAGGAATCGCTGGGCAGTATGTTTATTTAAAAGACAAAATTTGGCCCATTTTCTTTTTATTTTCTCTTGGTTTGGGCAATTCTTGGAGGGTTTCAAAACGGGATTTTCATCATCAATGGCAAGGTAAGCTATCTCCACCTATTATGAGTTAAATACATTGATTATGTATAGATTTTAACATGAAAATTAGTGAAAATTTGGGGTTTTGAAGAAAAACCTAGAAATTGGTATTCTTAGATTTTGACCCCAAAATTGGATATTGAATTGAGAATAAATTATATATTTGAGTTCGTAAGGTTATGGATAATTTTTATCTTCTTAAAATTTTGGAATCCGGTCACGTGGGCCCGAGGGTGACTTTATCGACTTTCCGAACGGAGTTGGAAATTTATTGTGAATTAAATTGTTATGAGTATTAGAGTATATTCTCATTGGTTTGCACATTGTTTGGTTAGTTTTAGAGTGTTGGGCATCGGTTTGAAGTGTTAGAGTGGTGTTGGAGCTGGTTATAAAACTTCGGAGCGAGGTAAGTCTCCTTTCTAACCTTGTAAAAGGGAATTAACCCCATAGGTAAAATAAATTAATATGTGCTTTTAATTATGGGGGATACATAGGCATGAGGTGATGAGGGTTCGTACGTAGCTACTAACTACACCTATGCCCGGGTAGTCTAGGTTTACATCATGTCTTATTGATACTATCGTCGATTTATGTTTATTGTTTGCCTTGAGAAGAAGCAAGATTTAGGTTGAGCAATAATTGTCTTGAAAGAATTTAAGATTTAAAAGGTTTCATTTGAACTTTGAAATTTCGAAAAGAATTGAGGAATATTATTAATAGTTTAAGAAATTTATGTGTAACCACGTCACATGTATGTTCCGCGAGCGGGGTAATTTCTTAAAAAGCTTCAAGATGAATTTCCCTTATTTTGAAAAGAATCAACAAAGAGATATGATTTAAATGTTAAATTTATATTTGACCGCGTCGCAGGTATAATTCGCGAGTAATTTCTTAAATTCACATTTGACTGCGCCGCATGTATGATTCGCGAGCTGAGTAATAAATGCATTTATGGTTCGTGCCGTTCGACCCTCGGTAGTGAACAATTTACATTTATGTTGGATCGGACCGAACATCCTCGATGGAATTTACAATTTATAT